GACCCCATCACTCACAATCTCCAGCTTCTGGGGGAACCGTTTCTCCAGGAACTCGCGCAGCTGCATGAACTGGGAGGGGGTTAGACCGTGCCCCCCCCATAATCCCTATAGCCCCCATAGCCCCCGCCAGCACATACGTTGTGCTGAGGACCCAGGTGTCCATGGGCGGGGGGGTCCTTGAGGAGCGCGGGCTGAGGCTGGGGACCCAGGAGTCCCCCCGTCCCCCCCGCCAAGATGATGTGGGCGCAGAGCCGAGGTGCCTCCACGGCCTGGGCCAGGAGCGGGACCCATTGCAAAGAGACCCCACAAGCAAGCACCCCCCCCATCCCCCATGGGACCAGGGAGTGGGGGTCTGGAGCAGGAGGTTTGGGTTCTCTCTGCAGGCCTGGATGAGGGGGCACGGGGGGGACGGGGAAGGTGGCTGGGGGGTGCTCGACTCACCCGGGTCCTGTAGCCTCAGTTACTGCTGCAAAGCAAAGCAGGGACCAGCATCAGTGTGGGGAGGGGGCCGTGGCTGGGGACCCAGGTGTCCAGGTGGGGGTTTCCCCGGGCAGGGGGGGCTGAGGCTGGGGACCCAGGAGTCCGGCCCCCCACCAGAAGCCAATGTGCACACGGAGCCGAGGGGCCTCCATGGCCCGGGCCAGGATCGGGGCCGCTGGAACTCGCCGGGCTGGAACCCGGGGCCCGTTGCTAGGAGACCCCACAAGCAGCACCCCCCCCCCCCCGCCCCCCCCCCGCGCGCGCCCGGGCTCCCTGGGGGGGCTGGAGCCCAGCTGCTTGCATTCCCTCCAGCCTTGGCGAGGGTCCCGGGCAGATGTAGGTCAGGCTCAATGGGGGCTTTGTTCCCCGGCCTCCCCCCACCCTAGCTGCCTGGGCTCTGGGTGGGGGGGCACCGTTAACCCTCCACGGGCCAGCGCGTGGGCGCAGGCCTGGTGTCTGCACACGCGGCCCCATGGCGTGAGCTGCAGGTGACTCACGGCTCTGCTGCTACCACCTGCAGGGGCATTACGGAGCGGCTGGGGGGCACTAGCACACGTGTGCAAGTGGCTGTCATGCCTGCACACGCGTGTCCCGTGTCCCCTCCTCCTCAGCGTTATGCGTGTATCCCCCCAGCACTGGACACAAGCCAGGCATCCGGGGCTGCCCCTGCCCTCACCCCCAGGCGGGAGCTGGGGGGACCGCAGGTGTCCGACCCCCCAGCCCTCGCTCCCTTCCCAGAGCCCGACCCCCGGCCCCTCCCCTGCCTCCGCTCTCCCCCGCCCCGCTGCCGCCATGCACATCTGGAGGCCTCCGCACATCTGGAAGTGATGCCATTTTCCAGGGTGGGGCCCAGCCAGGAACCCGGGCATCCTGCTCCCAGAGCCGCGGGGGCGGGAGGTCTGCTATGACCCCCCCAAAACAAGCCAAGAGCCAAGAGGCTGCTTCTAGGGTTTATTGCTCTTTTGGTACAGCCATACGGTTCCCCCCGCCAGCAGGGGGTCCTGGGGTACAGCCCCCCCCCCGCAACAGCAGCAGGAGCTGGGGCTAGAAGCCACATATCCGAGCTCGCCCCCCACCCCGTTATAACCTCCCAGCACCCCCCACCTTGCCGGGGCTGGAGAACCCAGGTATCCGGGCTCTCGCCCCCCAGCCCCCCCCCATGCAAATAAATACATACATAAATAAATATGCTGCTGGGGGATCTCAGACCAGGGGAGGGGATGTCAGAGTCCAAGGGGGCATCACAGTCCATGGGAGACATTGGGGGGACACCAAGGACTCCGGGGGGGGTGTCACAGTCCAGGGAGGACACAGGGGGGGTATCAGAGGTCCTCCTCCTTCCCATAGGCGCTGTTGGTGGCCCCAGCCAGCCCCGCACCGCTCTCCAGGATATTATCCCGCGATCCCGTCCGTGCCGACTGACCCCACGGCCGCCGGTGGCGGGCCCAGCGCCAGACCAGCGCACTGGTGCCGAGGCCCCCCAGCAAGGCGGCCACCCCCAGGGTGGCATGTAGCAGTGGCTGGGGCCCGAGGGGGGTGTCCACAGCCCGGCAGGGCCCACCGGGGGCTGCAGCGTCGTCGTGCTGGAAGCTGGCGCCGGCCGCGTTCTCGGCCACGACGCAGAGGCGGTAGCGGGTGCCGGGTGCCAGGGGCCCCAGCGTGGCGCGGCG